TCTGTACTACAGAGCGAGCAATACAGTCTCACAATAGCTGACCAAAGTTTGGAATAGCCAACTTCCTGAAATTAGGAATACATGATCTTCCTCATAGGTAAACTTGCTGAAAATCACTGTAAGATAGGTGTAAAAACTTGTAGAGAATGTCTTCTAATCACTGTCAAACTAAAAGCACTTTGAGACATTAGTCTACTTCTATGGAAAGCACTTTCAATTTTCAGTACTATACAATATCATTAGTTCCACTCCAGCTTATCCTGCGTCGCACACACACGTGTATGTGTGCACGTAAGCAGATTTTGCTCTACAATTCAACTGAAAATTCAGTGATAAATTTTCCTTCACAGTGGAATTTTCAAAAGTTATCTTGATACTAATGTCATGTCGTTGATGTTCTATGTTTTATGTTATTTCCAACTTTACCTAATAATTTAACAGCTGCTTCAAATATTGCAGCAGCTTCAAAGTATTCTGAACTTTACTTTGCTGTGAATAAAATGAAAACGCAAATACCATAACCGGTCTAATAGCTAATTCAAATGGCATTTTTATGCCAGTAAGTCACAGGGACCTGGAAGATTTCCAGACATGCTCACCCCAGCCAGTATTGAAATAACACGTTCTAAATATCTGGGTGTTGGTTTTTAAAAAAATGTTTATGGAGAAAAGTGACTATGGAGTAACTATCTGTGTATTGAAGTATGCCAGTGTCATGTAGAATAGTCGTGTGTGTCCCCCCTCTTAAACCATGGAAGTTTCTCCATGTGAGGAGCATCTTGGGGATTCTTACTCATCTATGGAAGTAAAGCCATGATCCTGCTGGAGTGGCTTCAGGGTCATGTTTTAGTATTGGATGAAGTTTCACCAGTTCAACTTGAAACAAAACAAAGAAACCTCTCTGATAATATTGCAACCTAATTGTTTTTTCTTCCCGATACTGTTTTTTTCAAAATAATAAGTTATAACTGCAAATTAATTTGCAAAAGCAGTTTTAAATTTAAAGGCTTGTTGGGAGACTTCAGCCTTCAACATTGACTTTGCCCAGAAATGGTGTGTGTGCAGTTTTCCCCCTCAAGAATTCTCCTAAATTTGAGCGTATCCCCAGCACAAGTTTGGTGGGTTTTTGGTTTGGGGTTTTTTTTAGAGCAAAATGTGAAACTCCAATGGTGGCACTTGCTTTGAATTTCACATTTACTAGTTCACCCAGACACACAATTCATATGTAGTTGTAATATGGTGTTATGTAGTGTGGAGTGTCTTGTTCCTGGCAGATGTGTATTTGTTTATATTAAATATTAGAAGCATGATAACATAAGCCAGTTCTATGAAATAGCCATTATTCATTCAAAGAACACCCGTTCTGGGAATGCATAGTGGACTAAGCTGTAACTAAATCAGGTAGGACTCTGCTCACAGTTGTAAAACTGGTTAGGAATGTTTTAAGCAGTGGAACTATTCTATTCTTTAAACACTTTGGGCTATCCCCGCTTCTTTTGAATGCATTAAGCAAAATTCTAGTATTTCAGTAACAACTAGACATTTACGCTGGGGCCATTGGGAACTGTGTTACAAAGGACCCACTGTCAGAGCTGTTGGCAGCCAAAGCGCTTGCGGAGCAAGTTAAACCCGGAACGAAGAGCAAGGACCTCTCGGCTGCAGGGATGGGGGAGAGCTCCCTCTTCCTTGGCCAGGTAACATTGCCAGGACAGCACATAGGTAAACTCTCCCGATTCCTGTTTCTGCTCCTTCCCCCCAGCTGTCTCACTATATAAATTTAGCAATAGAAGAGGAACTGAGGGGTAGTAATGGAGCAAAGCAACCTTATAGCCCAGTCTTGGTGCTGAAAGTGATCTCGAAGCCTGACAATGGAATTATTCTCACTTCAACCCTCTGATGCAGTTTGGTCATTCAAGTCTTGATACAACTTAAGTTATCCCCTGCAGCTGCCTCTTCCTCAAAAGTGCCTGCTAACGTAGTATAACTGATAGCTTTACTTGTAAAGTGTTGAACAAAGTCTCTTATTTATGAGTGCCATTGAATACCAACCTTCTTGCATTAAATATGTCTGGACGTATTGTTTTATTACGTGTGGTCTGACTTTATTTAGTATTAAGCGGTCCGTCTGCTCTAAGATCGAGATCTTTGCATGTAAGATTAAAAGGATGGGAAGACATAGCTCAAACTGGCCTCAGCAACAGTCTGAATTTCAGCTTGCCTAGGGCTTGGTCCAATTTCTACTTACCGGTTGTTGATAGAAACCCTGCGGCAATTTAAGTGTTTTTAGGAGCCCAATCATGGAATGAACGGGCAGCCAGCCCTAACTGCCCCGTCACTCTGCAAACACCCCTCGCATCCAGCTGGTTAGGCAGGCTGGCAGGGGAGCTTGTGTGGTTCAACCTGTGCTGCTTCTATAAATAGTTCTTGGTTTTGAGCTTTTCATTATTAATGAAACTTGCATACTTATTTGCAAGTCCCAACTCGAATGTTGCGCTTAAAATTGAGAATGCAGTGTGAGCAATGCAAGCAGCAACATAAAAGGCAGGCTTGTCTTCATAGTGGCTTATTCTCTCCACTCCTCGAAATTATACTTATTTGCATTCTCATCTCTTTAATCCAGCTCTGGCTACAGAACCAGGTTCTTCGGGAGGGAAGTGTGCAATGTGTGTCTTGAAGCTTTTACTCTAGCCGCAACGTGTTTATAGAAGTGTCCCCAAACCTGAACAGCATGTAAAGTAGTCCAGCCAGTGTGCGCATACCACAAAACCCAGAGAATTCTCCAGTTCCTTTGCAGGTAGCTACCAAGTCAACAAGCATTGATGTGGTATTGCTAGTGCTTCTGCCACGCTGCCTGCACGTCGGTGACTATTTACTACAGCCTCGCTAGCAACGGTGCCATCAACTAGGAGCCAAGCTAACACTAACCAAGTGACTCCTAGCTAAACTATCACTCTTCTGTGCTTCTCTTATGATGGCAAAAACCCCAAATGTAAGTGGCTTAAAAAAAAAAAAAAGAAAAAATAGATGCTCTTTAAAGAAATGTGCATGGGGGGGGATGCTGCCTTGCTGCTCGTCAAGCTGGCAGGTGGGTCCCTCCCCCCGCGGGGGC